TTTCATATACTGAAATGAGGAATTTAATTGTTGTCTTCAGTAGGGTCTTAACTGATCCACTGTGGCGAATGATGAGCTCTGGATATGATTTCAAGATTATACTCCGCTTACCTTTAGTTGATCGCAACCTTCTCTAGGTAAATATCTGACGCCACCACTGAAGACGAACGTTAAATAAAACAGAATATTCTAATAATCAATGGTTCATGTCTGATTCTAAAACAAATTTTGATGTTGGTTATCTTTATGTTTACTTTGTATCGCTGAAAGTAAGTAGTGAGAAAATTTATTCTTATTAGACTAGTTAGTTCACAAGTTAAAAATTGTGTATAGGCTTAGAGCTACCAAAAGTTCGATAAATCAATTTTCATTGAAAAATTGTAGTTAGTTAACAAATTGTATAGGTTTTCGAAAATTCAGAATAAATTTTCCTCAACGATAATAATAAATTGAGATTCAAAAGAGAAAGGTTTTTCGTTGATAACTCAAAAACAACCAATAAATACTTGGGTAATACAAATGCAATTTTTTCGAAAGAGGGCAAAATCCTCAACGAAAAATTGTAGTTAGTTAACAGAGGGAAATTCACAATGAAAAGTTATATTTGTTAAGTAAAAAATTTTATAACTTTTCGAAAAATACAAATTTTTCTTCAACGATAATAACGAATTAAGGTGCTGAAAAATGTTTTTTTTTTGTTTAAAAACTATCAATACTACAATGAAAAGTTGTTAGTTATTTACCAATTGTGTAACTTTTTTAATATTCAAAATAAAAGTTGAACGATAATATCAAATTAAGATGCTGAAAAAAAGGTATTTTCCGTTAATAACTCAGAAACTCAATATTTAGGTAATACAATTGAAATATTTTGAAAGGGGAAAACATTTATAATGAAAAATTGTAGTTAGTTAGTTAACTGAAAAAGAGGGAAATTCACAATGGGAAATTGAATTGTAAGTGCTTTCCATATGGCATAAAGTTCTCCTGAGAACACAGTGGAGAACCTGCTGGTAGTTTGAAAGGGTAATTGGAGGCAGCACTGGTGAATGCTGCCCCCACTCCTCTTTCTGATTTGGATGCGCCGGTGTATATTTGGATACAGTCTTCGATTTGTTGCAATAGTTGTTGAAAAGTTGTGTGAATTAGACTATGGTTGGTGTAATTTTTCTCCAATTGAACGAGCCGTTTTTCAGTTTTAATGCTTGGAAAGGTACATGGATTAATTTGTAGTCGGAATATTTTTGAAGTGTTTTTTTACGCACGCTTGACTTGAGGAGTAAGCTGGTGAATGCGTGACGAGATCGTTACGAAAAGTGTGATCGGGCGAGGCGAACGGAAGTTGAGATGGAGGTAACAGTCGCTTGAGTGAGTTGATGTGAGTGTTTTTAAGAAAATGGACAAAATGGAGTATCGAACTGTCATTAAATATTTGTTTTTGAAAGGCAATACGCCTACGCAAATCAAAGATTAGTTGGATTTTGTGTATGGGGACTCTGCACCATCATTTACCATAGTGAAATTTTGGGCAGACGTCCAAAAACTCCAACTACCAACGAAAACATCGCCAAAGTTCACCAAATGGTTCTACTAGATGACCGTCGAATTAAAGTGAGATGCATTCCAATAAGTGGTTCCACTTATGTCTCGCTTGCGTTCACGCAGTTATTTTTATCAAGTAGTTTTCTTGATTATTGACATTTTGGCTTCAATCGAGGACCGCCTGCCCGATACTGACGATGCCCAACATGCTGAAACAGCTATCTATAAATTGAGACACAGAGTTCAAACTAATCAGTCTAGTTGAAAAAACTTTAGACATGTTATTCGATTGAATGTGTTCGATCTAAATCTAATAGAAGGGAATACTTATTTTTGAACGTGTCAGACAATCGATTGTAGTCGTGTATTTTATGAGAAGGTGGACATTTCACTCATTTACTTCAATGTCGATATTATTCATTATTTACTTTCGGTATTTATTTTATCTCTCTTTTTCATGTTTTTGAACTCGTTGATTAGGATTAGACTATAACTTGGAAGAATACAACCCTCATATTGTTGGATAATGTATATATAACCTCGAAGTGATCTTTTTGATACATACCCCTCGCATGCTGACTACACAAATGAACGGTTTGCAAATTCAAAACTTGATCAGGTGTGTTGAACATTATCCTTGAATGATTTTTTATATTGTAAAGCGATCTACCTGTTGAAACTTGATGTGCTGCGAAGCACATAATCTTTTTTGGTGAGTCTTCGCCTTTGGGAAGTTCCTGGGTTATTCGTCAGTGTCCAGCCACTGTCCTAAACATTTCCTGTTGTCGTAGAGAATCCACTTTTCATCAATATTGATGGTCCGATCCAAAAAAGGATGATTTTGGTTGCGCAAAAGCAAAAAAGAACAGACCACGTAACGTTACAATTTCTGTCAATTATTCAAATTATAGGACACCCGCCATTTAACGCTCCATTTGTGATGGGTTCTCAAATCCTCGTCGTAGATTACTGTAGGTCGACCACTTCGAGGCTCATCTTCGAAGTTAAAATCTCCGGAAGAAAATTTCGGACTTTTTTGGCGGCGCTTTGGTTCAATTTGAACTCGTTGAAAAAAATTGGCTGCCCAACAACATTGTATAGTAGTAATAAGCTGAAGCGAGGCAAAAAATCAAAATTCGGAAAAAATCTGCATCAACATGTATAGAGTTCAAAATTCTCTATCGATCAGTATATACTCAGTGAAGTTGAATTTTCGATGATTGAAATGATTTACTGTCATCAATCTGACCTGCGACAGCCAATGATTAGCTAATTGTTGTTACTATTGCTGTGATAAGTTGAAGAAGAAAACACAGAATGATAATTACTCGGTTTTATTTACTTGCAAGGTAAAACTTAACGACAGAAATGATGACAAAGAAAACTTAACT